AAAAAAAAAAAAAAAAAAAAAAATTGAACTGAAAATCCTTGGTAGTAAATATATAACAGTTATAAATCTGTAACACAGGAAAGAGTTTTAAAAAACAAGAAAGCAACTTCTAAGAAACAGAAGTTCCAGGGTCAGGGCTCTCAGTCCCCTGATAGCTGAAGAGCCTGCAGAGCACTCATCTCCTCTCCTAAGCCACACACGTTTTGCAAACAGGGCAAGCTTACCAAAGCTACCTCTCTACAGCTGCAGAACTAGTCAGGAACTGGCTTCGCAGAGCAGTCTTTTTGTCATGGTTTCTCAGATTTGGGGCAGAAGAGAGGAGTGGGGAGGAGGTTTGTTGGAACACAATGACCCTTTGGCCTCTGAAGCAAGCTATCTTAAAAAGATAATCATCATTAAGATGTTCCCACCAGCTTGAACCCCAGCAGTACACACAAGACTGTCCCATCAGGTGGCTTCTACTACTCAAGGGGACTCCCCATGCTACCCAATGCAACAGTCATGCATGTACCACCAGAAGTTCAGAGCCACCCAGCAGTGTGACGTACAGTTTATGGCTCATCACAAACATATTAAATCTGAAGGCTGCAGGCCCTCAGTTCAGGGATCACAAGATGCAAATAATGAAAATAAAAATGACTCTCAGTTCCCTCTTTAACTTGGTAACCCTGACAATGGCCTGGTGAAATGTGACAATGAGTTCTTGGGTGGGCATGGTGGTACACACCTGTAATCCCAGTAGTTGGGAGGGTGAGGTAGGAGGACTCCTCCTACCTCAAGGCCAGCCTGGGCTACAAAGTGATTTCAAAGCCAGCCTGAACTACATAGTTGGACCCTGTCTTTAAAAAAAAAAAAAAAAAAAAAAAAAAATGTTTGTTATTGCATTGCCAGTCTGGCTGGAAACTATGAATGAGACACCCGTCCTTTCCTTCAACTCCCTGTCTGAAACAGAAAGATGAAACACATCAAGACCACTCACACATCTTTTGTGACTTCTGTAATATAACTGCTTAAAGCGCAATAGCAGCAAATTAACTCAGTCTCATAAAAATATGTGTATGCATGTGTACAGCAACACAATTTGTCATAGCTAAACCTTGGAAACCATTCCTCAAATGCCCATCACTTGAGGAATGGATAAAAAAGATATGGTATTTTTATACAATGGAGTATTACTCAGCTATAAAAGAAAACTTGAGGCTTTTATAAGTAAATGGGTACAACTAGAAGCTACATTCATAACTGAAATAAATCAGACCCACATGTGTATATATCATATTATTGTGCCCCTAGTGTAAGAACCTGAAAGAACAAAATATGAAAAGTACAATAGATACAGTAAAATAGAAAGAAACTGAACATAACGAATAAATGAAATGATGGAAAGAAAAGATAGCAGGTCAGGTGCTGGGGCCAGAAGATGGCAGCAGCTGCTGAGTTGAAGCTGCTGGAGAAGTCTCTAGGGCAGATTAAGGGTAACAGGTACAGCACTCAGGGTGAGCAACAGATTCCAGTTCTTTAGACAAACAATGGCCCAAGTTTAACAGGACTGACAACAATAGCAACTCATGTAGTCAAGCAAGCCAACAAGGAACATTTGCTGGGAAGCACAGCAGAAGAAAAGGCAACAGTTCATCAGTGATCAGAGTACAGAGTCATGTGAGTAGACAGACGCTCCAATAAGGAAAATGCCCACACACTCCTGAAGGATTTTTTTTTTTTTTTTTTTTTTTTTTTGCAGAACCAAGGATTGAACTCAGACCCTTGCACTTGCTAGGGAAGCACTTATTCCACTGAGCCATCTCCCCGGCCCCTCCTGAAGGATCTTAATTCATATCAAGTCTACCTTACAGGATACAACCTTACCTTAGCAGATATCCTATTGTATTATGGACTTCATTGCTTTATAGTTGACCTGACAGTGCAAGAAAAGGAGAAATATCTTAATGTGTCTCACTGGTTTTGTCACATTCAGCACTATCCAGGCATCAGGCAACATCTGTCAAGTGTTGTCTTCATCAAGAACAGAGTATATTCCAACTCTCACTAGAAGTTACGCATGCTCTACAGAAGTGTGATTAAAAGTGCTTAAATGGAAAGTGTATTCTTTACACAGGACTAACATTAATATGCAGTGATTATTTATTGGGGCTGATAGAATTTTAGAAGCATAAACTCATGTCTGAATAATTTATTTGTTCATTAGTTAAAGTCTTGCAGTTTTTTATGTAAAAACTCAACTGCTATCAAAAAAGTTGATCAGAGTATAATTATCTTGCTTTTATAGGTAAATTTATTTTAATAAAAGTTGCAAATCAGTGACCTAATCTTAAAACAAATTTAGATCATCCTCTGAATGGTTGACTTATTTGGCTATTAACTCCTTTCACGTTTTAAAATTCATTTTCCTCTTATGGACATTTACAGTAGTTTATTTAAAACTAATAAATTATGCCAGTGGTACAGAAAGGAAGACATGTATTTGTTTTCAGATATGTATGTGAACTAGTAAATGTAGTTTTTTGTTTTTTTGGGTTTTTTTTAAGAAAGAAAAGATAGGAAAAAAAGGAAGGGGAAAATCATGTAAGTATATATACAGGATAGCTAAAATGATTGTACTACTAATTTCTATCAGGTTTTTGTATATTAACTTTTTTTTGAACTTTATTTATTTATTTGTGTGTGTGTG